GGATGGGCTAAATAGGGAATGGGTAATAAGGAGGGCACTTGTGATGAGCTCTGGGTGTTATATGTAAGTGATGAATCACTAAATTCTAAATATTACACTATAGGTTAACTAACTAGAATTTAAATAAAAATTTGAAAGAAAGAAAAAAGAAAACAAAGAACTAAATAAATTGAGAGATATTCCATGTTTTGGATAGGAAGACTCAATATTGTCAAGGTATCAATTCTTCCCAACTTGATGTATTGATTTAATTCAATATCAATTAAAATTCCACAAGTTATTTTGTGGATATGAAAACATGGATTCTGAAGTTTACATGGAGAGACAAAAGACCCAGAATAGCCAACTCAAGATTGAAGGAGAAAAAAAATTTAAACTAACACTACCCAGCTTCAAGATTTATTATAAAGCTACAATAATCAAAATAATGTAGTATTGGTAAAAGAACAAAGAGATTAATGGAACAGAATATACAGTCCAGAAACAGATCTACATAAATACAGTCAACTGCTCTTTGACAAAGGAGCAAAGGCAACACAATGGAGCAAAGATAGTCTCTTTAACATATGGTGCTGAAAGCAACCACAAGACCTCCACATGCAAAAAAAATAAACAAACAAACCCAAAAAACACCTTACAACTTTCACAAAAATTAACTCAAATGTATCATGGACCTAAATATAAAATACAAAACTAGAAAATAACAGGAGAAAAATCAGATAACCTTGGGTATGGTGAGAACTTTTTAGATACAACACCAAAGGCAAGTTTCATGAAAGAAACAATAAGATGGACTTCATTAAATTTAAAAATATCTGCTCTGCTAAAGAGAATGTCAAGAGAAATAAAGACAAGCGAAAGACTTGGAGAAAATATTTGCAAAAGACACATACAATAAAGAACTGTTATCCAAAATATACAAAGAACTCTTAACAACAATAAGAAAACAATCAATCTGATTTAAAAATGGGCAAAAGGGCTGGGGCGCCCTGGTGGCACAGCTGGTTAAGCATCCTGGTTTTCACTCAGGTCAAGATCTCAGGGTCATGAGATAGAGCCCCACGTTGGGCTCTGAGCTCAGTGTGGAGTCTGCTTAAGACTCTCTCCCTCTCCCTTTGCCCCTCCTGCTCATGCACGCTCTCTCTCTCGCTCACGTAAACAAATAAGATCTTTTTTAAAAAATGTGGTGCTCCTGGATGGCGCAGTCAGTTAAGCATCAGACTCTTGGTTTCAGCTCAGGTTGTGATCTCAAGGTCCTGATATCAAGGCCTGAGTTGGGCTCCACACTTAGCATGGAGTCTGCTTGAGATTCTCTCTCCTTCCCCCTATCCCTGCCGCTCATGTTCTCTCTCTCTAAAATAAATAATCTTTTTAAAAAAATGGGCAAAAGATCTGAACAAACATGCCATCAAAGATGAACAGATAGCAAGCACGTGAAAAGATGTTCAACATCATATGTCATCAGGGAAATGAAAATTAAAATGACCAAGATGCTACTACACACCTATTAGAATGGCCAAAATCCAAAACACCAACACCACCAAATTCTGGTGATGTGGCAACAGAACTCTCATTCATTGCTGCCAGGAAAGCAAAGTGATAGAGCCACTTTGGAAGACAATTTGGCAGTTTCTTACAAAATTATACATACTCTTATCATATGATCCAGCAATCACACTCTTGGGTGTTCATCCAAAAGAGCTGAAAACGTAGGTCCATACAAAAACCTGCATGTGAATATTTATGGAAGCTTTATTCATAATTGCCAAAACTCGGAAGCAACCAAGATGTCCTTCAGAAGGTGAAAGGAGAAATAAACTGTGGTACATCCAGACAATGGAATATTACTCAATACTAAAAAGAAAGAAGCTATCAAGCCATGAAAAAACATGCAGGAAACTTAAATGCTTATTACTAAGTAAAAGAACCTGAAAAGGCCACATATTGTATGATTCCAACTATATGACATTCTGGAAAAAAAACAAAACTATGAAGACAGCAAATGGATCAGTGGCTGCCAGTCCTTAAAAGGGAGGGAATGATGAACAGGCACAGAGGATTTTTATCCTCATGAATGGGATCAATGTCCTTCTAAAAGAGACCTTGGAGAGCTTCCCTGCCTCTTATACCTTGTAAGGACACAGCAAGACAGCTATCTATGAATCAAGAAGGGGTGGGAGGAGCTACCCTTCCAAATACACCAGCACCTTGATCTTGGGACTTCCCAGCCTCCAGAGCTGCGAAAAAATAATGTTGTTTATAACCACCCAGTGTATGGTACTTGTTATATTTGCCCAAATGGACTAAGACATCAATAGCATAAAACAGAGAGTCCAGAAATAGACTAGAATAGAAATTAATAGGTAGGATTTCAAATCAAGGGAGAAAGAATGAAAGATATAATGAATAATATTGGGATAACAAGCCATACATTTAGAAAACAACAATAAACACGAAATTATAAATCCACCAGACAAAAATTAATCCCAAATAGATTTAAAAGGTAAGTAAAACATCAATGCTATAAAAGTTTTAAACATATGTTGGTTTTTCAACTTGCCTGAATCTAGGTTAGTGTTAATTAGGTGAGTTTCTGTTGTTCGCAACCAAAAGAACTTGACACAGAACCCTGACCAGAATTTAGCATGGAATATTAAAAAAAAAAAATCAATGCAGAAAAACACAATAAACAAAAAGATAAGCAACGACGAGAAAGTATTAGCAACATATATAAACAAAGTATAATATCCATGTTATATTAAAAACTCCTAGGGGCCCCTGGGTGGCTCTGTCGTTAAGCGTCTGCCTTCGGCTCAGGTCATGATCCCAGGGTCCTGGGATCAAGCCCCACATCAAGCTCCCTGCTCCGCGGGAGGCCTGCTTCTCCCTCTCCCACTCCCCCTGCTTGTGTTCCCTCTCTCACTGTGTCTCTCTCTGTCAAATAAATAAATAGAATCTTTAAAAAAATGAATAAAATAAAAAAATAAAAACTCCTGTAAGTAAAGAAAACTAAACAACCCAATAGAAATTTGGACAACAGATATGAACAAGTAATTAATAGAGGAAGAAATATAAATGTCGAATAAACATATGAAAAAATGTTCAACCTCATTAGCAATAAAGAAACACAAATTAAACACCAATGAAGTAACTTTTTTCACTCAAGAAAAAAGCAAAAATTTGATGGGGCACCTGGATGACTCAGTCGGTTAAGCATCCAACTCTTGAGTTTGGCTCAGGTTGTGATCTCAGGGTCATGAGATCGAGCCCTGTGTGTCAGGCTCCACACTGGGCGTGGAGCCTGCATGGGATTCTCTCTCTTCCTCTGCGTCTGCCCCTCCCCCTCTTAAGGAAAGTAAAAATCTGAAAAACTCTAATATTAACAACAAGTAGGAAAATGGCCATTTTATAAACTATTGGCCAAATATAAATTAACACTATCTTCTCAAAGGACAATTTGGTATAACATTTATTAGAATTTTAAATTGGCTTTTCCTTTCTTTCAGCAATCTCACTTCTAGGAATTTATCCCACAGAAAACATACATACATAAGAATATAAATATAGGTACTATCTGTAATAAGTATTGGAAATAATCTAAATGTTGAAAAGAAAAATGGTTAAGTAAATTATGGCATATTCTTAGTAAGGAAAATGTTGTAACAGTTAAAAACAAGATAGATCTATATGTATTAACATGGAACAATTTTCAATATATATAAATTAAATGGCAAAGTCACAGAATGACATATTGAACATACTGCTTATATTTAAAACTAGTCTATCAAAAGATAAAGATTTTTAAATTATACATCTTATATAATACATTAGATATCTTAAAGAAATATATCTATAATAAAGGTAAAGGCACAATAAAGGATCTAGAAAGATATACACCAAACCATTAAAAGCGGTTTTATCTCCAGTAAGAAAAAATCAGAATAAAAAGGGAATTCCTTGCCTTTTCTTCTATCTACTTCTTTTACTTTGTGTGTTTATATATGACTTATATAATTCAATATATTATTAAAGAAAGTAAAATGTAAATATAGCAAGCAAAAGAATTTCTGCTCTGACAGGCAAAAACCCTCCAATTCTAAAATTTTAAACTAAATACTTCAAACTTTTTATTTTTCCACTCAAATATTACAAAATACTTTATTACTCAGATTTGAAATTGAAGAAACTGTAACAAAATTTTCTTTGTAAAGGTCTAAGAAATATCGGGCTCAATGGAGGTTTAATGTATAAAAATGTAAAATAAAATGTAATTGAAGCTCTTAATCTTTCAGAGATTTAACAAAGTTCCTACTTTTACAAAGACATATTCATTACATTCATTAAATTCAAGATTTACTAACATCAATTGTTGATATTTTAAATGGAGAAATAATCATTTATAAGAAAAAAGAAAAGCCATAAAATACCAGCAAAAACCCTTCTATAGAAGTGTTTGTATAAATCCACTGAAGTGTCTTTAGGCAGACTAAATTGCTGATTAGATTCAACAGCATTAGGAACCCATTCTTCAATTTTATTCCAATTTCAGTGATTTAGAATCATGTACCGATTTTAACGTTTTGGCATCCTTTTCAAAACATGAAAACCTTATTGTATAAACCTAAATATTTGAGGCCACTTAAAAACAAATGTTAAGTATCAAAAACTACCAAAATTCACCTGGTTTTTGATAGACAAATCTTCCTAATGATAAAATTAGGATATACATCTAGGGAAAAATAAAACTTGACCCATCTCAACATATAATTACTGAATTAACTGATTTCTAATTATTCAAATAGTAAATACATGTCTCAAAGAAATGCTCAAACTATAATAATTATGTTTAATAATTATTAATGATTAAATGAACTCAAATATATTAAAGTGTAACTTATAACTGATTTAGAGAAATTCTAGAAAAACATTCAAAGTCTATTTATTTCCTGTACTTTTCTTTCAAACTAAATAAATGACAGGAGAGAATAACAGACTCCAACCTTTCTGTTTTGGATTCACTGTCAATTCTGTACTGTTCAAAATCTTGACCAAGAGACCGTAGCTTTTCTTGAAGTCTCTTTTCACGGTCTATGCTTCCTTGATAAAATTTCATCTCTTTTTCCATCACTTTCACTTTTTCTTCCATAGCCTTAAACTCATGAAGAATAAGATAGCTGACTCCACAGTACTTACAAACTTTTTCTTCAGGAGACATCTAGAAAACAGACATACAGACATACATACATAAATTAAAATATTTTTTAAATTCTGAAAAGCAAAGTTCTACGGAAGATGTTATTGCAACCATGCTGGTCAAATCAAGTAAATGTACACTGGACTATGCCATGGAGTGATAATTATGACACTGCTTACCTCTGGATAAAATTTTTAAAACTGGCATGATACTGACTCTGACACAAAATCTTGGAATTAGAAAGGGTCTTTCAGAGTGATTATTTCTCCATAGTATCTCTAAGAAAAATTTACTCTTGAAATAGTTTCCACGAAATAAAATTAAAAATGATGAAAACATCTTTAAAATTCTTGTTTTAAGAGGAGTTTTCCACGAAGTGGAGAGAAACCACGGGCCTTTTACTGCCAGTTGCACTGTGAACCTGGAGATGCTTCTAGGCTTTTTCAGATCTCATTTTTCTTCATTTATAAAATTCTGGCATTGGACCAAATGAACTCTTAAGCTCCTGTTCAGTTTTAACATTTTATGCTTTTTACAGAATTTAACAGAATTTATGCTAGAATTCTGTCATAAAACCACAAATAGTAAAAACATTTTGAACCTAACCTCTTCTCTCCCAGTCCTTTTCCCTTCACATAGGTATGGTAGATACCTATGGTAGATTTTATAGACAGGGAAATGGCAACCACTGAAGTTGAATAACTAGCTGATACATAGAGACATTGGGATTAAACCCAAGTCTATCTAAACCCAGCACCTAGATGTATATCCTAATTTTATCATTAGGAAGATTAGCCTGTAACCATTTGTGTCATATTTATCTACCATGTGAACGTCAGCTAAATCCTCTTCCTTCCTTCAAATAAAATGTTCATGTATCTCTGGTCAACATAAGGGCAGTGAAAAATGGAATTTAGCAAAGTCAAGAGAGAGGTAATTCTTTTTTCTGTCTCAAGTATATAAATGTTCTTCAAGTAGACTCTACTCTACTTGTCCTGCTATTCACAAAGGATGAGAGACGGCTTCATTAAATATTTGCTCCAGAGTACTAAAATGAAAGCAACACTTTTAAGCGTTACTTTTAATGCAACCTCCCTCAAGATTGTAGAAACTGCTCCCTTAACTAAGAGTGACACCACCTCATCTGCCTATCAATGCCATTACACAAGAGTCAGATGAAACAAACTAATAACAAATTTTTACATAGTAACATTTTGCTCATCTAAAGTTCAATAATAAAAATTTCAAATTAAAAAATATAATACTGTGGGATACAGACGAATGACTACATCAATCATCTAACTGCCAGCAATACCAAAATTAAAGATCTGTAAAACAACAAGTTTGGAGGAAATCATAAAGATAACTTGGTTCAAGCTCTGGATGGGTTCATAAAGTCTACTCCAATTTAGTAAGTCATTATCCTGACTCTATTTCAACATCCCAAATGATGGGAAACTACTTTGTAAAGCAACCTGTTTATCTTCTGATGGCTTTGTCTACCAGGAAATTCCTTGTCATGCTGACCCCAGATCTGCCTCCCTGGAACATCCACTGGTCCTAGACCTCCTAGGAACCATGTGGAACAACCCTAGAGCTCTTTCTAATATTTAAAAACAGCTTTCAGGAACACTCCATATCTTCTCTTCTCCAGGTCAACACTTCCAGTTCCCTCAGCTGTTTCCCATATGACATGGTTTTGAATTTCTTCCTTATTCTAAATAATTTTCTCTGAACTTGTTCCAGTGTTCTATATATGTCTCAAAGTATGGTGCCCAGAATTTAATACTCCAGTGTGGTTGGTCTCACTGAAACAGAATAAGAGAGGGCTCAAGCCTCCCTCATTCTAATATCTCGTAAGTAATATCGTTGGTAGTATCTTCTAATGCAACCTTAGATCACAACTGTCTTTTATATTTTCAGCAATTATATGTTGATATTATATACTACAACAGGCTTTTATGTTAAATAAAGCCCCTATTTTTTAAAAAATATACTTCAGTACAGGGGCGCCTGGGTGGCTCAGTCGTTAAGCGTCTGCCTTCGGCTCAGGTCATGATCCCAGGGTCCTGGGATTGAGCCCCGCGTTGGACTCCCTGCTCCACGGGAAGCCTGCTTCTCCCCCTCCCACTCCCCCTACTTGTGTTCCCTCTCTCGCTGTGTCTGTCAAATGAATAAATAAAATCTTTAAAATATATATATATATATATATTTATACTTCAGTACAAAACCATCTTTCATTATATTAAGTATACCAATCTATTCCTTCCCACCTGTGTCCGGTTTTTTAGAGAATCCACCTTCTACTGTCCTGGATGCTCTGTTTAGTAAAATGACTAAAACTCCCTCCACACATCCACCCTAGCCATGGCGTCAGCCATGGATGAGGATTAGACATTAGACCCAAAAGAACGAAGCCCTAAGCTGGGATGAGCCAACCAGACTTGTAAGTGTTGAAGACCCAGGTATTTGGGACACCTTTAAGCAGTCTCAACGGAGAAGGATCATATGCAAGGTACAGAGTTAGCCACATTACTGGAATGAGGGAGAAAAATGAGCAGACACACAGAGACAAGATGAGACAAAGATAATCTGGATCCAGAGTAGGAGAGGAAAAAAGGAACCAAAGACCTTCGAATTCCTCACTTCAGTTCCTCTTGAGACCTAGCTGCCCTTCTTGCCCTTTGGGGTCCATGCCCAATCTTCCTGCACTATTCTCTTTCCTTCTTATACTACCAATTTCTTGCAACCAATAACCTTCATTCTATCATGTATTTGGCTTTTCAGATTGAAGTGCTGAAAAATAAATATAATTATAAATGTAAGTAAATAACATACATATTTATACATAAATATCTCAGACACACATATATTTTGAAGATAGGTATGTCTTAGACTCAGCCTTTAGTTACTGACTTTGGTATCCAGGAAATTTTAAGCTTTGTGTCTTTTTCAAAACTGATCCTTGTAAGTTGCTTTATCCATCCAGTTCATTGATTAAAAATGTTGAATATAACAAAATTGAGGAAAGAATTCCACAGCATGTCATAAATACTTGGTTGATACTGATCTATTATTCAGCACATTTGAAGAGTTGAAGGTACAACTTTCAACTGGTTATTAAACTACCCAATTATCTTTATACTGATTCATATTATCTTCAGGAATATTATGACAAACTTTGTCAAATGTCTTCATAAAGCCCATATATTCTATGGCTACTACAGTTCCTGGATCTAGTAACTGTACACAAAATGGAATGGCAGGACCTACATGCCAGTTCCCTTAATGAATGTAAAACTGGCTCAAGGGTTATTGCTTTCTAGTATATACTCACAAACCACCTTTTATTTTTTTAAGATTTTATTTATTTATTTGAAAGAGAGAGTGTGTGCGCTCCTGCACATGAGTTGGGAGAGGGGCAGAAGGAGAGGGAGAAGCAGACTCCCCACTGAGCAGAGACCCGATGCCAGCCTGGATCCCAGGGCCCTGAGACTATGACCTGAGCTGAACACAGATGCTTAACCAACTGAGCCACCCAAGCGCCCCCTATAAATCACCTTTTAATAAATATATTCTAGTACATTGTCTGAGATTGAAATTGAATTCACTAGTTGTAATTTACGGTTATTTTACACATGGGATGGCATTTGTACATTATCCTCTTACTCTCTACATGTTCTCAAAGATCACCAACCACAGGCCCATTCAAAGGTACTATCAGTTCCTGGGAATATAATTTATCTAGGTGAAGAGACCTGAACTAATTCAGAACAGATGCGTATTTTCTTATAATCCCTTTCCTCACTGTGATTTTTGGTTCCTTCTCATCAATTTGAAAATTATATTGCTTACTTGAAGGCACTTTTGTTCTTAACCTTATGCCTATTAATCACGGCTCTTGCCCAGACTCTGGCAAAATGCCTTACCCTCATCCTAAAGAAAACTCTTGCTGGGTGGAGCTTATTTGCAGCCTGATGTAAGTACTGTAAGCAAATAACATATATATTTATACATAAATATCTTAGACACACATATTTTGAAGATAGGTATGTCTTAGACTCAGCCTTTAGACTCAGAAAGAGTATACATTTCACAGTTACAAAAGCTATTAGGATGTTATTTTACCACAGCCATTAAGTGGGGGGTGGATGGAGCTGAAATATATGAAGTAATACATTTTACAGAATCTTCCAGAAGTTCAACAAAGAGAGCCCAAATATGACATTATGAGCAAGAAACAAGACAATCAAATTATAAAATAATAAGTCCATAAGAAGTCTCCAGACTGGGCCTAGTACAATCTGAGTCACTGATTGATCTATGTTAAATAAGTATATTGAACAAAAGTTTTCCATGTTATTAACTTGTAAATAATTTTCCATAAGTAAAACTACAACAGAAAGAAATGTAATAACCCTTTCAAATTCTTTGTGTTTGTATGGGCTAATTACTTAGGACATTTTTGTCTATTTCTTGAGAGAATTGTCTAAACTTGAGAAATTATGTTCCCAAATGAAGTAAAAGTTACCTGTTTTCTGTGAAATATAATTTGTGCTTCATTCTTATAACTTGGTGTTATATCATGTCCTCATTTTGTAAGTAAAATAACGACATGCTGTCATTCTTGACAAAAGAGCTAACATTAGGATGTTTTTGCTTTCTACAAGATGCACTTTGGAGGAGGCACCAACAAATGCAGTATATTAAACGTACAGCTATTTAAAAATAAATTATAAAATAAACTTTGCAAGTTCAGTGTTTGTACTTTTAAAATTATAGTTATTTAATATAAAAATGATGCAAAATTTTTAAAAGGTTAAATTAGGCTTTGGATCCTTTTCAAAGTTCCTGTCTGTGCTTTAACTAGGAAAGGCACTCCAGTAACCTCCTGCTGCCCAAATGAGGCATTCTCTGCTCCAAAACTGTTTTCTTCCCCCACCCATCCTGGGCTTTTGTACTTGGATAAGGAAGAAAGAAACATAAACTATTTCACAAAGGTAAGAGTGACCGCAGTATAA